TGGTTAGCCTTGCTCTGTTCCTTTTAGCCCAAAGCATCTTAATGGTTGTAGTATCTTTCAACTAAGATTAAGATGTCTCAGAGGGTGCCCCGGAGAGGTGACAAACTCACTAAGCTCTCTGCCACTGTTCTATGATGGCGTCTTCCCACAGTAGCATGGACCTCAAGCTCTCCCTGCACCCTGATTCTCTCCATATATGACAGGCACTGTGTTCTCTGCCCCATGGTCTCTATAGTCTCATCTAAGCTCTAGAGTCACCAAAGAGGTAGAGAATTCTGATCCCCATTTCCAGGTGAAAAAGTGAGCCTTAAAGATACTTTCTCTAAGCTCCTGGCAAGGCCACTAGGCTCCAGCTGAAAGGGACTGAGCCTTTATATGAAGCTGACTTGTGTTAACAGGCATACCCCATGAAGAGGCTGCCTTAGCTGCTCAGGAAAAGATCACTGCTGTTAAATAAGAATGGGGACCTGTATTGCCAGATCTGCTGATTTTGAAAGAGAAGCTACTTATGTGATTCATAGAAAATATTCAGACTTTGAATTGTTTTCTAAAAATGTTAAGTACAATATAAACCAACCTCCACTCCAAAACCACCAACAACAACATAAACCCAAGAAATGTGCTGACCATTTGCCCAGGCTGACCTTTCCAGATAATTCCCTGTCTTCCAAATCCCTCTATAAGGTTATATTATATCTTCAGTCCCACTAAATGCTTCCAATAACCCGTATTCCATCTTTATGAATTCTTTTCTATTCCACCCTCACCCAATCTGTCCATTCTCATTCATCCCCTGTGTCACACCACTGTTCCCACCTGCAAGTCTCTCAACTGGTCTCCTTGACTCTCAGTTAAAACCTGATGGAGCTTTTAAAAACTCAGTTGGAATCATCTAACTTCTTCAAGCCACCCAGTAGAACAAGCAGATATCCAGATGCAAAAAGAACCACTTTTCCCCTTCCCTACAAAAAAAAAAAAAAAAAAAGAATTCAAATTTAAGAGCTCATGCTATAGAACTTATGGAGGGAAGCACAGAAGAAAATTGTTCCTTCATTGAATTAGGCAGGCATTTCTTAAATAGGATTCCAAAAATGAAAACCATGAGAGGATATATTGATGATTTAATATTTAAAATATGAAAACTTTTCTTCGGAAGACATTGTTGAAAAAATGAAAAGACTGGGAGAAAAATCTTTGTGAGACATATATATGCTAAAGAAATACCCTAATATATAAAGAACCCTCAGAACTCACTGGTAAGAAAACAAACAACCCAATTTTAAAAATGGGCACACAGTTTGGATACACCTCTCACAAAACAATGAATAGGCTTAGCAAGTAAGTGTATGAAAACTCAATATGATAAGCCATGAGGAAAATGCAACTTCAAATCAGAATGAGATATCACTATATACCAATAAGGATGGCTAAAATTTAAAAGTCTGACACTAGCCAGTGTTTGTTCAGAACACTCATACATTTTTTGGCATGCATGCAAATGGTATACACAGTTTCTGATAAAATGAAATGTACAATATGACCTCCCAGTTTTGCTTTTAGTTATTTACAAAGACAAATAAAAACTTAGGTTTTTCAGAAAAATCTTTATACAACACTTCTAGCAGTTTTATGTGTTATTGCCTAAAACTGAGACTAGCCCAAATCTCTACCAGTGAATGAATGAACAAATTGATGTGCAGTTTCATACAGTGGGATCCTAATCTGTGTTAAAAGGGAAGTACTTAGGCTAAATGACATTCTGCCCTATTTCATTCAAAAGACACTCTCAAAAAGCAAAACTATGAGGAGAGAAACTAGATTACTATTTATTGGAAGTATGGAGATCAACTCTGAGAGACTAAGAGGCAAACTTTTGGGGTAATCATTGCTCTGTATCTTTATCAGTTGCTCAGTTGCATCCCTCTCTAAATCCTAAAAGTATATTTTTTTAAAATAACTGAATTTTCCTTTCAGCAAAATATACCTCAGTTTACCAAACTGTAAAAACATCCTTCGGAGATCCCCTGTTTTGGTTATAAAGTCATTTTGATTTAAGCTATTAGGAACATGGGAGCTTATATTAAGGTATCACAAAGAATGGAATTTTATGAAAATTCTAAACAGGAGCTGCATAAACCTAGGGAAAGGGGAGGTGAAGAGTATTTATTTGGATCTTCCTTTTTCATAAACTGTGTATACTGAGCCTAACTGCCTTGTCCTCACCTGGTCTCCTTGGTCCAGAACCCCTCCAGTTCAGAATCCTAGGTGCAACTCATCACTCTGCCCACTGACTCACCTATCTAAGGAACTGGACTTGGGCCAGATGGCTATACACAGGGCAGCTCCAGTTTGGAGGGTGGGGATTATATATTGGTAAATCCAATGGCGGCATATCTTATACCCTCTGATCACTTTTAGGTTATGTATAAATGAATATGTCCGCACTTACCTCTCCAGCCTGGTCTCTGACAGATTTCTTGACTCTGTCACTCCCCACCAGCTCCATCTCCAGAGTACTATGACTAAATGTAGTTACTTAGTTTTATGACCAAGTAACTACAAGGTCTTTCAGGCTTTGGTCTAAAGTGCATGCCTCTTTCTGGACCTAAGTGCCTTTCTTTAGTTCCTTTTTTGCTTTACTTACCATGTTTGATGTTCCAGGACTCCATGGGGGCATTACCATCACTGGAAAGTCCTTGAATGTGACGAGTCTCCTCACATCTGGACTCCAGAGGCAGCCTATGACTTTGGTTTAGAGGGTTTGAGGAGCTGAAGTATTTGGAATACTGGTGCACATGTAGATGGTTCTGGAGTCTGTTAAAAAATGAAGATTAACTCACAAGCTATGGATGCTGTAGGACTTAGATAAGCATGGGGATTTGCAATGTGTATAGGTTCCTCCTGGTCTTGGGGTAGGCACTATGATTGTCTTATGATTGCAGATCTCTCCCTGCCCCACATAGGTGAGCTGGTGGGTAGTCTTTTGTACAGATTATAACTGGTTTCCAGCTCTGCCTTCCAGGCAACATATGCATGCACCATGTGCGATGGGGGCTGGGCTGAGGGACAGCTGTGACCAAATGAGAGAAGTGAGGACCACAGCTGGTCAGAGCATCTAGCAGCCATCAGGATGCCACTCACCATATTCTCGTTCTCTTTGCCAAGGCTACTGGCAATGTTTGAGATGGCGCCTTAGGCTCACAGTGAATCATTCCATTATTCCATTCATTTACACTACTGATAAATTCATTTGCATGATAACTATTTTTCAACATAACTTGTTCCACTTAATGCCCTCTCTGTGCTAGGGACTCCCCACTACCAGAAGGACACTAGTGAAGGGCACATGGTTACCACTATCACCATGCTTACAGCCAACTGGGGAGACAAATGTTAATCAATTCATTACTAATTAAAAAATTAGAGTCTATCAGATTGTCTACTTTCAGCTGAACGAATCTTCTAGCTCATATTTGGATAATTGAATTCTTCACTATCATGGAATCCTGTTTCTTGTCCTGAGATCTAAATCCAGCTCATAAATTTCCCCTTGGTGAGGTGCTTGAAACTATAAAGGCACACTGTCTTGCCTGAGGAGGTAGAGTTCTCCAGGATCATTTCTATATTGCCCGGCTGCTATCCTCCTGTGAGGAAGCATATAGGTAGGGATATTTGTAGTTTGGGGGATAGGAAATTACTAAGGTAGTCTGTCACAGGATTAACTCAGCCAGGATCACAGAATGGAGCCAGTTGCAGCTTCTACAACTCCAGAGTGGCAAGTTCATGAACTTTTATCAGAAAGTAGTAGTGAGTGGGTCCTGCTCACCGAAGTCCTCAGTGAGCCAGGAAATGTGGGAATGAGGGCCTGTCCCAGGAATTCTAGGAATCAATGCCAGGATGAGAACACTTGAAACTTATTTCCACCTTATTTCAGTTGGTAGTGATATCTAAAAACTCACACAATTTGAGACAATTAAATGCAATGTCTGGCCCTAGAAAAGATCTTACAATCAAGAGGAAAAAAAATACTATAAAGTATATCAGATCAACTGGCAAAACTGGAATATAGACCTAGATTAGATACATGATGTATCTTATCAACATAAATTCATGAATTTGGTAACTGCATTGTGGCTGTGTAAGATAATCTCCCTACTGGTAGAAAAAAACACCAATGTGCCGAGGAGTAAGGGGCCATGGAATGTGGAACTTATCCACAAATGGCTCTGAAAAAAATACCATGTCCAAGTATGTAGAAATTTTCAAACATCTATAAAAGTCCCATGACCTGTCAGGCTTTCTGTCTGGAACAGGCATGGATTTCTGATCAGAGCACGTCTTGCATAGCTACAATGTTCAAAGCTTATAAACTTGCCCAAAGTTGGCTCAAATAGTTTTCTCTTTAATTTTCTTTTGTGTTCTTTATCTACAATAAGAGTCCTTTGTGCTCCTTTCTTCACATTATTCTCTCTTGATTTTTATCTTCTGGGATCCTGAACTTGGACCAAAGGACAGAAATTTTGGAGAGGCCCGTTTCAGTTATAGAAAAGGTTGACCTTTCGTTGATTACAACGGTCTAAGGTGAGAACAACTATGCTGGAAACAAGAGTTTAAAACAAAAAAAAAGTGCCTAAAAAGGGGTTTGGGACAATGAATGGTTTTCAATTCTTGCCCTGAACTTACCAGCTACTTGACCTTCAGAAATCACTTGGAGATTCATTTTCCGGCTCTGTACAGTGGGTATTTCCTAGGAATCACCTAAGAGGACCAGAGTGAGGGTTAAAAACGAGCATTCTTGAATGTTTTGCACAAAGTGTTTGCTCACTGAAAGTAATTTATTGCAGTAGGTGTTTTTATAACTTCAAGACCCAGAAAGAGACACACTCAAAGTCACACTATCTGTATTACAACTTTGACACAATAGAGACATTAAGAATCATTTATGGCAGTGATTTTCATTAATTCCGGAATCCGTCGAGCAGTCAATTTATGTTCCCGGTATGACCTCTTTGAATCCCGGGACATCACTTCTCAGGCGGGCTTTATTCCCCAACTTCGAGGCAGCATTAAGGAAAAAAGAAGGGCTTCTCTACACCCGCCTTCCAATACTCACACACACAGACGAAGAAACTGAGGCTCGGAGAAGCGAGGCCCTAGACTTGGCCGCCTGTGAGTAAACCCAGGTTGCCTTTCACCGGGCCAGGGACCGCCAGCCGCAGTTCGTTCTTCGTTTTGTCCCGGTTAAAGTTTAAGATTTGAATTGTACAGTTAACACTTTTTGAGTTTCAAACAATTCGTTTACAAAATGCCTTTCGGGACGGGTCCGATTTGTCGGCTGCTCGGCTGTCGCGGTTCGGTGTCCAGGGATCCCGGGGGCCAGCAGGAGGTGTTCCCGTGCGCTGGCCCGGGGCAGAAGGCTCCCGGCGCGTCAGGCCCCCGAGGCGGCTGGGCCCGCGCGCCCCGCGCCACGCCCTGCGCCCAGGCCGCGGCTCCTCCCGCCGCCGCCGCCGCCCAGACCGCTCGTCGGCCGCCAGCGAGGGAGGAGCCGCGGGCGGGGCCGGGCGAGTTTAAAGCCCTTCGAGGGGGTGGGGAGGCCCCGAGGAGGCAGGAAGGGAAGGGAGCTGCTGTTGAGAGGGTGGGCGATCTTGGCGCTCGGAGACCCGCCGGAGCCCAAAGTTTCCACGCAGCCCCTGGGCGGAGGCTGCAGTGCGGGGCGCCCGGGACAGTCCTGCACGCCGTCCTCGCCCCGAGGGGACTCTGTGCCCACCGCCTGCTGCACTGAGTGTCGCTGGCGGCCACGCGGAGGCGGCGAGGAGCGGCGCCGCGGCAGGTACGGAGTTGGGCGGGGAGCGCGCCAGCAAGTTACTTTGTGGTCCGCGCCGCCGCGGGGCCGGGCGGACCGGGCGGGTCCCCGCCGTCATTGTCTGCGCTCTAGCCGGCTGCGGCCAGGGACGGCGGGCCCCGCTGAGGCGCAAAGGACGGAAGGGCGTCGCCTCATGGCCGGGGGCTTCTGCACCCTAGGCCCGTGGCGGGCGGTACTGTGAGGCGGGTCGGGGACTTCGGGTACGCTGGCGAGGCGGCGGGGCGCCCCGCCGGGCTCTCCCCGCTGCGCTCTCGATCCCTGGGGGGAGGTGTGGCTTTTTATTGTGTTTTATTGTGAATTTTCTTGGGATTGGAAGAAAGGCCAACTTCTTATTGTTTGGTTTGATAAAATGTTGTGGTAAAGTAGGGGAGCCACAGGTGATTTTACAGGGGCCTTGATCTTTAGGATGCTTTTGAAAGAATGTTTTCTTGAAAAAGGTTTCATTCAAGAGATTCAAAGAAAAGACCCAAACAAGTAGCGCTCGTGAGTAAATTTGCGTTATTGCACAACTTTCTCTTTGCTGCTGTTTAAAAGGCCAGGCCCAGAAGACTTTGTTTCACAAAATGCTGATTCAGCTGTTTGGAGCCCCTGAGTTTCAAGAAATGGTGTTCTATTTAACGTTTCTCTCTGTTTTACTAAGAACACATGTTGTTAGCGCAGCAACAGGCATAGACTAGGGTTTATAGCACAATGATGGTAATATTTTAACAAGAGTTGACCTAGAGCTCCTCTTTCCAGGAGAACAGAGAGGTAGAATCTAGATTTTTACAGCAGAGTGGGTTCTGACTAAGGTAATGATGAAGTGTCTATTAGGAAAGTATTTTTCGAAGTAAAAGTCCTGAATTCAAACTTTTTTTCACCAGGAATGATTGCTGATGTCCAGGTTTTTCTGTTAAAAATCAATTCTCCAGGATTCCTGCACATAATATTTGAGTTTTACTGGGAGCACTTGAAAGAGGAGGGCTGCACAGGCCAATCCCCAGATTACAGGAAGGGAATTTAAGGACAGACAGAGTTACATGCCCAGCAGGCATTGCAGTAACTGAGAAGTGTAGCCACTGATACTTTGGTAGCATTTCACAGTTTACAAGACACTATCAAAAGCCTTGTTGCTTTTAATCCACTGTATAGTCCCCCTGATCCCCATTTTACAGGTCTGGAAACCGAGGCTCATGAGGTTAATTGGCACGCCTTAGGTCGTTCCGGCTGGCAAAAGATAGAACTATCACTAGAGCCTAAGCTTTGGATTCTTTTTAGTCCTGTGTTTTATGCTTGTGCAAAAGTACATCCACTGCTGAAGGAGAAATGGCATGGAGGAAGTACACCCTGCCACTCACACAGCTGGACAATAAGAGGCTGTGGCATGATGTTACTTAATCTGGTGACTCCCAGCCTTCAAGATTAATGCCATATTGGTGAAACCATTATCGATATTTATTTTTTATACTTGAACTCACATTTGTTTTGGGAAGAAACTTTGATGTCCATGAAGTCATAAGTTTGATATGGTAGTTATGTTTACGGTAATTAAGATAGAAAATCTGAGTACCCCCAAAGTCACCTGTTGCATGTCATCTGTGGTCTGCTTGGCTTTTGGAGCAGTGTTGAATTGGTTAAAATGGTTTTCATTTGTGGACCAGGAAACTGGAGCTGAGCAAGTTCATGGCAGCTAACTGTCCCGGGCTTTGTATGCTGCCCACTGCCAGGAATGGAACCCAGGGTAGCCCTGGCTCACTTTTAGTGACAGGGTCTGTGTCTTGTCAGTCTCCAGCAGGAGAAAAGAGTAAAGTTAGAATCTAAGTGCTGGCTCAGAACTCTTGATTTTGATGACTTAGCTGGGTCAGAGACTTTAAAATGTATGGAACTCAAACTCCTGAGTGAACAAAGAAATCTATCTTCATCTTGGAGCTGCAGATTTTTTTTGGTTGGAACAGCTGACAAAAATGAATGCTTTAAAGTGGCATAAGTTAAGGAACTTATTTCTTTGGAATTCTGTCCAACTTTTAACTACAGGGGAAGAAGAGCCTACAGAATAGTAGCATTTATTTGAGATTGTAAGTGGAATTATGTTGCTAACCTGACAGAACTCAGAGCAAACTGCAGGGGATTTTGGTCCTGTTTCATAGGAGAGAAACATGTGCATTTGCATGTTGACTGCATAATCCCTTTGTTAAAGTAATGTGGAGTTGCATGGGCTTGTGAGGAGAAAATATTTGCCTTGTCTTTGATTTAAGTACTCAGTCGTAGGTTCAAAATTTAAATGAACTTTTTCTGTTAGTGGAGATTTTTTTTTAAATCTATCTTATTTTTTTGCTTATCTATGGAAATTTATTTCCTTCTTACTTGTTTTTAATTTTGATGATTTGGCTGGGTCGTAAACTTTACAATGTATAGAAAACAAACTACTTACTACTTCAACAAAGGAATCTATTGTGCCTTTAGTGGCATCTTTAAGAATCTTAGAATTTCTTGGATTGTTAAGCATTTCTTAAGGTGAATCTTGGGACTGAATCTAGACCTTTCTTTTTGAATGTAAGCATTTAAAGCTAGAAGTTACCCTCTAGGCACTGCTTTAGCTGCATTCCACAAGTTTTGATGTTGTTCTTGTTATTTTCTAATAAAATTCAGTTCAGAAATATGGGAGATTATGGAAGAAATTAGGTTGGTCAAACTATGTGGCGGGGCTTGGCAAACAGGTGCTTTGGGATTTGAGGTGTGTTCTTCAGGGTGTGCACAGTAATGGGTGTATGACTGCCCTGATCTATTTAAGCACTGGATGGTACTGAATTTGTGTTAATATTATTTGAGCAGTGCACTTTTAGGGGGCTTTCTTTGTTTTCCCTTCTGGTTGGAAATCCTGACGTTTAGCTGCCCTCACAGACTCTGAGATGCAACCTTTCCTGCCACTTGTCTTTGGGAGGCTTTTGTCTACCCTCCTAGTGATACCAGGACCTGTTCACTCTGGGTACATAAAAGCAGGGGGAAGGGTAAAACCATCTGCTCAATCATGTAAAGGCAGACTGACAAGTTCTTTAATAATGGGATGAAAAATGGTGTGATTGTCCTTTGAGAAGTCAGCAACAAAAACCATTTCTTAGGGTTATCAAAACTCATCTCAGAGGTAGAAATGAGTGGTGCTGGTTTCTGTTTTTGGCATATAGACAATAAGAAGATTTCCCTTCTTCCTATTTTAGAATATTAATATTTTTCAATCATCTGCTTTATATATGGATTTTCCTTGAGCAGATCTTAAATTCAAAGAGCTTTTTACTTAGGCTGGGTCCAGCAACACAATAGACTTTTTTCTTTTAAAAAAATATGCATTTTTAATTGTTGATGGACCTTTATTTTATTCATTTATTGATATGTGGTGCTGAGAATCAAACCCAGTGCTTCACACATGCCAAATAAGTGCTCTACCACTGAGCAACAACCCCAGTTTTTATTGTTAACATTTACCAGGGCAATGGAGATAGGTACTGCATTTGGGAGCAGGTTGCCTTTCCCATCATATTGCTCCCTCTTTGCTTTGTTAGACCAAGGTAGCGGCTCACACTAACCATTCTATGAGGCTTATTGCGTCAATTGAACTGTTGGTTTTACCATTTACAAGTTTTGTGAGCCTGAAAAAGTTAATTAACTTCTTTCATAGAACAACAATTATAAGATGGTTCATCTCTAAGTGTTGACATGAAAGTAGAATGACATTAGGTTTGTGTGAATGATAGGAGCAGTGCATGACACATGCTGACTTTCATGGTGATGTGTCTCAGTACTGTGCAGTCAGTCTCAGAGTAGTTTGTATGTTTGATTGCTTCCTTTCTCTTCATTTCTAAGGTCTGCTAGAAAGGGGACCCTGCTCTTCGTATTTCTGTCTTGCTGTGCTTTGCACACATTCATTGTGCAAAACCTTGTTGAATTGATCTGAATGTTCTGTGGGCCACTGTCACTGTTAAGAATCTTTTTATTGACTATGTTTCGCATGGCAGTTTGAACTCCTCACAGGTAGGATGCTAAGATCAAAGAGAGGTGAAGGACCATAGACTTCACTTTTCTGAAAACCATTTGATACAGATAATAGTGTATAGCAGGTATCAAAAATTGGTTCCCTGTGACCTGCAGCAAAAGATGCAAAGACCCCTGAAAGGCACAAGCTCAGCTGGCTGCAGTTTTGGGTGAACAGAGAGATCCGTTGTGGAGCCTATGACATTTGTGTTTGGGCCCCTGAGGTTGGAATGAGATGAACATGAGCCACTCATCCTGGATATGCTGACCATGCCTTTGGGAGTGCCTTTGAACCCCATCCAAGGGCTGTACTGGTGGGCAGCCCACTCCTCCCTGAAGTCTTAGCAGCGTTTGAGCCAGTTAAATGGTCCTAGGCATAAGCAGCTGCCATCTCACCAACTAACATGGGCTACTAAAGCACATGGCATGGAAAGAGCTCAGTGTATGTTGTGTAGGCACTCCAACCTGAAATCCTTTTAATATAAAAACCTTAATACTATCACAAATCTAACACAGGTTGACCATCTCTAATCTGGAAACCAGAATTCCAAAATGTCCCCAAACCTGAAACTTTTAGGGTGGCAAATTGATACCGTAAGTGGAAAATTCTACATCATGAAACTTTGTTTCATGCACAGAATTAGTAAAAATATCATATTTAATTATCTTTAGGCCATGTATATACAGTATATATGAAATATAAATGAATTTTGTGTTGGAATTGGATTCCCTCCCCAAGATACCTCATACATGTTCAAATATTCCAAAATCTGAAAAACAAAATCAAAATCTAAAACACTCTGATACCAGGCATTTTAGAAAAAGAATACTACCCAGAGCAATAACTTTAGGATTCCCTACCACAGGAAATTTAAAATGATGAAAAATTGCTGTGAATTGAATGACTTTTAAATTTAAATGTTTGTATAGTACCCTTGTGCCTGAGCACAAACCCTTCCTTG